AATCGAATTAGGTCAGCTTAGTATAGTTTCTTATAGCGTGTATTGTAACCCCAAAGACGGATTATGTAGCCGTTAATTGGAGTCTACAGATAGAATGAACCGCTCTCGAATGGAACAGTTTTTTTTACTCAGTGATGAGGAATCAAAGTGAAGTACTATCTTCTTCAACAAGGTAACAGACAATGTATGTCTGAAATTCGAAGTAATTCGCTCCTTTTTCTACGCGATGATTTTTACTGTTATCTTGTGACAAAAGGCTACTAGCGCGAAGGTAACTGGAGCGGTGCTGGCCATGTTACTTGTGGGTGGAGGACATTATGTTTAGAAATCGTTGCCGCGAAATCAGGCTAAATAGCCTGCTGAAAAGGGCGACTTTATTCAGCCCCTCGTTTTTCTTGCTGTAGTAAAAAATTCCTGAATTGTTTTTTCATCAGATCCCTGCTATTCCAACTGATATTGGCTACGACAGTGGAAAAGGAATCGGAGGAAAGAAGAAGAGTGGTGTTGTCTCCCAAGTGACTAGGAATCCAGCAGTTATTGTGGGCATGGGTCTTACTACACTCGCCTTGCTAGGAATGTTCAGGTGAGTTCACCATCTTACAAGTCACTGTGAGTCGTCGACGTAAGGGCGGTTCACCATGCTAGGACTCTTCGTTCTCAGCACATATCGAAGAAAAGGTTCTGTCTTCATTACTTGGCTTCACGCCAGTGGCATTGACGACCTGTTTTCTGATAGCAATAATATATAAAAATCCATATAGAGATAATCATATGCAGAGATAATTTACACAATTTTCCTTTCAGGAAATCATTCTTGGGTGACAAAATGGGCGCACAGAAGTACATGCGATACCGAGTTCTTGGGTGACAAAATGGGCGCACAGAAGTACATGCGATACCGAGTTATGGCTCAGTTCTTCACTGTGACAGCGCTCGTAGCAGGAATTACCCTATTTGGATCCACATATGAAAAAGATAATATCAAGAACATGGTGCTGCAGAAGCAGTAAAGCCTGTGGACCTAGAAATGCTGATTTTTTCTATCGGGGTTTTGGGTTCACTTTCTAGATAAACCGGTAGTCAGAGCGATTGGGTCACTTGGACAGATAGTGACAATACTGGTAGAAAAGAATTAGTCTTTTCATCGTTGAAACTGGTATCGAGCATCTATGAAATGACTAAACACTTTTGGAATGTTGTTAGGTGGGAGTATTTGCTTCTCTTATCAACGTGCTAACTTTAGTACATATGTATACATATTCACAATGTTATTTGTTCGAATATTTGCGATTAACGAACTTCTCGAAGTTATCTGCTAGGCGGTATGACCGACTTTGTGGTACGCAGTGAAATAAAGTTTGAAAAGCTTTGTGTCTTTTTCCTGGCACATGTAACACCGTTTCGAAAAACGAGTAGCGGTCACTTAACATTGAGGCAATCTTGAGCTGGATAAAACACCTTTAAAGGCACCGTTCACGACAAAAAAGTTATTGAGTTCTTACCTTATTAATACTCAGCGGCCCCCATGGGTTGTAGAAGGGTCCTCCTCACTCCCGCAATTTCGACGTCCAGGGCATGATGGCGGGCCCGGTGTTGTCGTAATTTGCATCTCCGCCCCTCGACCGATGTCACGTTAGACGAGTGCCGAGACGACACAGTGTCATGTAATCGCGTCAGGACCCATCCTGAACTGCAACTTGGCAAATTGCCAGAGACGCAATGTGTTGTTTGCTATTGCAGACAACACATTCCGTCTCTGGCAACTTGCCACTTTGCCGTCTCTGGCAACTTGCCAATTTGCCCGAACACTCTCTAACCGACGTTCTTTCAATGTGAAACTCGTCCAACCCCCTTTCCAGCTCTTTTTTTGGCCCTTTGTAATTCTTTTTGTTCATCGTGTTTTGCGCTTTTTTCGTTGTTATCGCTTTATTCTAGAGTAGTTCTATCGATTTCCCGTCAAAAAAGGGTACCCTATCTTTTTTGTGAATGGTGCCTTTAATTACGTCCACGGACTTCCATCCATTCTGCGATGTGGCAAAACTCATCTCCCGTCGATGTCCTGCAAGTGTCGAACCAACTGCAGTGGCCGACTCCGGAATTCATTGCATCGTTTTACGCAGTCCGAGCTGCGTAAAACGAGGCAATGAATTGCCTTGCTTCGTGAACCTGAATGGATCTCCGCATTTCGGACAGCGCTGCTCCTCCAACAGTGGCCCACAAT